AGAAAGTGCAAAGTATTTTGCTGGCAAACGCTGCTTATAAATATATTATATTATATTATAGAACAACACCGATGAATCACAAAGCTTACAGGAATATATAAGAATCTAGGAACCTGTCTCCTTTTATGATGTAAAGATGGACTGACACCAGCAAGTTTATCAGCAAGATACCGTACTCTTACACAGAAATTTTAATATGTTGTGATTTCATTATGCAGCACTATACCTAATGATATCTAGACTTATGCACAGCGGAAAATTTTGGTTTGGCAAAATTGTTATTTCCGAAACTTAAAAACTTTTCCAGGCAAGCCAATGCTCGACCAAGTTCTAATTCGAATCACCCTGATTTCTGTTTTCTCTCACTCATTGCTGGCATGTGAGGGTATACAAATTGAAGTGGTGTGGATAAATGAGACTTATTTAAAGGGACACTATAGTCACCTGGAAAATACAGCTTAATGTAGTTGTTCTGGTGAGTATAGTATGTCCCTCCAGGCTGTTTGTTGTAAACACTGCCTTTTCTGGAAAAAGGCAGTGTTTACATTGCTCCATAGGGACACCTCTAGTGGCAATCGCTCAGACAGATTTTATTTTATTTTATTGTAAGTAGACTAGGGGCTTGTGGACCCTTAGCGAAGAATGGAGGTAGACAAGAGCATTTCTATTCCCCGAGTATATTTAATTACAGCCTCACCCACTGTCCATGGTAGGGGACATTACATGCCAAAACATCCAAAGCAACCAAAACAGCCAATGGCTGGAGAATGCAAGTGTGTTGATACGACCCTGTTGTCTCTGTTACCGAATGTGCAACAGTTCAGGCATTCTATCGTCCGTGGGAATTCTTTTTCTATAACCTGCACCACTAAACTGCTCTACTAAATGTTAGTACTCATCTTTGGTAGCGTATGCAGCATATACTGCGCTGGTATCTGGTTACTATATGATCTTCTATCCATCTAGTCCTCTGGCAATACTCTTTTGAGTAATTACTCTATAGAGGACAATGAATAGCCATATCATGTGAGACCTCATGGAAGAGACAACCCAGCTTCTTTCTTGGCAACTCAAAAGAACTCAGACACTTTATTGTAGAAACCGCCAGCTTACATAGATCACAACATAGAGTAAATTCACCAATGGGAATACAGAACTGGGCAAATAGAACACACCGGAGAGAAATGGCTACAAAGTAGTTCATTACACTAGGTCTTTCCCCTGTCCAAGTCCACCCTGAAAACAAATGGTTATCTTGACCTTCCCTTCATCGCAATCTTTGATGACACTCACACAGCCCTTTGCTGTAGTAAAAAGCATGCAATTACAAAGAGAGACTTGCTGGCTTTCACAGCAGGTGGTCACTTGCAGTAAAGGATTTAGATTAATTAACTTCCAAAATACATTTCACACTAGCAATGCAAGAGAACCCCTCTCTTGACCCATATATGCATATACAGACACACACACTGCTCTGTATAATACAAGTACACACAATACAGAGATGACTATGTACATAGCAAGTATAGTCACAAAACAGTTAGTTAAATTATATATTAATGCAGACATCTACAAAGACTGATTATGTTTTAAATTTACTGACACTAGCAGAAGAAATGGAAAAAGAAAGATATGGAAAGAATCCAAATAGAATACCACAACATGATGTAATGTTTATGGCTCAAATAGCATCATGGCACCCCCAGTGTAAATAGTCAGATAGGGGCCTGCAAGGTGCTAGTCCTTGCATTCACTATAGCTGACACAGGAAGCCAGAATCTCCTGTTTCTGTTAGCTCTCCTGCACCACGGGTCTTTAAAGGGACACTATAGGCACCCAGGCCACTTCGGCTCATTGAAGTGGTCTGGGTACAGCGTCCCTATTGCACTTAGTGCTTGAATGTAAAACATTGCAGTTTTTGAGAAACTTCAGACCTAATGCGTGCAACACTTGCAGTGCATACGCATTAGTGCCCCCTTAGTGACTGACATTGAAGAAGACAGACCCACGACCCCACGACTGCGCCGAGGGAGGGATGTGGCAATGGGAGCTATAGTCCCAGGAATACAGCTTTGTATTCTTGGCACTATAGTATCTGTAACGGACCGTTTTGCACACAAGGGGTAAAAACCGTTTAGGCGATCGTCCCCTTCTCAGAGATGCAGGCACAGCTATTGTAGAACACCAAACTCACGAACCGCCAATAAGGGAATGCTCCAAACTCCCGAACGGCATCCAATATAACACTCCAAACACACGAACTGGAACCATACGAATCGCTGCTAGCAGACGAATAGGAAAAGCATCCAAGCGGCTTACACTCCTAGCAATCAGTCTCTATCAGCGTTCAGTAACTCCCCCTAAAGACGAGACAAGGCTCCGTGTTGAGGGACAAGCAGTGGTCTGTTTAATGAGGGCTACCTGCCCAGTATTTATTCAGGTCTCCCACCTGGTGGACACTCCCTTAGGGGACCAAATGGGAGACTGTAACAAAAGACAGACAAGTAGACAAATAGGACACACAGTCACATTATATTCCCACAAGGCATCCTGGCTTCCTCCCCTCTGCCCTGGAGATAATTGAGAAGTAATTCAATTATCTCCCAAGACAAAGGCAAATCGCCATTATGCGCGTGGGGATACTACAACACGAATTACTATTAAAATACACTATGTGAGACACATTACAATAAAACTATACATTTAACATGTCCCCAGATAGCTCAGGTCTGAGCGCACATTATTAAGCGAATGGCGCTAAGACCACACGAATACAGTGTAATCGCCATGGAGCCAAAGTCTCTACAGTCAGTTTCTCATGCGAATGGGCTCCATGGGATTCCTATCTGGGGTATAACACATTCAAGCAAAACTACCGAACACCGGGCCGTTCGTGCACTTTCACCGAACAAGAAGGGAGGTCGGCGGCTTCAGCGGTGTTCGCGCAAAACTGTGTCCGATTTTAGTTCCACGAATTAAGCGTCGAACACCGCTGTGCGTTCGCATGTTTAAAATGGCCGCGACCTCGTGTTCGTGATACGAATGGCGGCCACCCAGCATTTGTCAATTAGGCTGCGGTTAACCGCAGCTTCAGGGAGGTTAATTGCCGGCACACTCCAGCTCCCAGGTGGTCCAGTCATTCGTGCGGTTGTTCGGTAGATTGAACCTACCGAACACCAGGCAGAAAAGAACGAATAAATCTTTTCTGCAGGTAAAAAAGATGTCTTTTAACATGGGGCCATAGTCTAAAGGCAACAGGCGAGCAACCAGGCTTCTCCAATGCAATGTGGCGAGATTGCTCTCGTCACAGTATCCCTTTAAGTTAAGCAGAGCACTTACGGCTCTCTGTATCCACTAGGAAATGCAGAGTGTGCACCCAGCAGACTTAAGGTAAGAAGTCAAACCATTTTAAAATGGTTTGAGTATGTATACTACCTAAATGCCAGGGCACACCAGACAGTATAACCACTAAAGAGCAGGTGATTTGAGGGGCAAACTCCCCAAGATAAATCTGTTGGGAGAAATACCCTTATTCATGATTAGACATGTGCACCAGTGAAATTTCCGTTTCGTACAAATGATTTTGTACTAAATAAAAATTCCATTAGTCAATCCCGAATTTCGCCCATAAACCATTCGTTTTCGAACGTAATTCGTAAAAAAAGTTTTCATCCATTAAGACGAAAATAGCACTGCGCATGCGCAAAAAAAAACAAAAGCAAGGAGGGAGCCGGCAGTGCTACCAGCTGTCAGGAACGTTCGGTGATCCTACACACAGAATGCAAATACTAGTAATATACACCGGACCTTAGCATGGCCGGACTAACACTAGATACACAAAGAATAGTCAAATAGCAAACCGAGGTCTGGGGTACCAGAAATCAGGATCAATGATAATGCAATAGCCGAGGTCAAGACACAGAAGGAGGAATAGTCAAACTAAGCCAAAGTCAGAATACAAGAATATCAATACGGAATACGCACCCTTGGGTCAAACAAGAACCACAACAGGGCAATGAGTCTCTACCTAGTTTCTCTTTAAATACCGTGTTCAATTAGGTAGGTAACAATGCCCCCAAAATGTTCTCATTCAAACACCTTGACGGGCCGTGGCGTTCTTAGCGTTGTGATGTCGGCGCTCATTAGCTGCGTCATAAAAGGAGGCACCCATGACCATCGGGTGGGGACCTTAACTAAATAAATAATGGGGGGGACCTAATGTCTCCCCAGGTCCCGACCCATGAGCGGCAGGAGGGACCCTAATTAATTAAAGAGGGGGACCTAATGTACCCCCTGGTGCCCACCCATGAGCAGCAGGTGGGGACCCTAATTAAATAAATAATGGGGGGGACCTAATGTCCCCCCCATGTTCCCAACCATGAGTGGCGGGTGGGCACCCTAATTAATTAAAGGGGGGGGGCCTAATCTCCCCCTGATCACCACCCATGAGCAGCGAGTGGGGACCCTAAATAAATAAATAATGGGGGAGACCTAGTGTCCCCTCCAATTTCCCACCCATAACCGGCGGGTGGGGACCACATATAATAAATGACTAGGAGTCACCAAGGCACTCCCCCCCCCCCTAATAAAAATACCCTACCAATCCCCCTCACCCACCCTAATAATAGTGGGGAATAAACTAACCCTGTAAAATAAAACTTCATACTTACCATTAGATGCCTTCTTTCTTCTTTTCTTTTATTTCTTCAGCCCCAAAAAAGGCCAAATAAAAATCCATAATACAGTCGCAACTGTTAAAATAAAAGAAAAACCAGAGCATGAAAAAACACGTCCACGTCCTGCAATTTGATTTAGAGCACTCTGATTGGATGATTCCAAGCCACCCAATCAGAGTGCTCTGACAGGTAAAAGAAGAGACTGACAGGTAAGTCTCTACATTTACCTGTCACAGCACTCTGATTGGTTGGCTTGAAATCCAAAAAATCAGAAAGCTCTGAGTCATTTTACACAGCGGGAAAGTTCTTTGGAATTTTCCCATGCTGTGTAATTTGACTCATAACTCTCTGATTGGTTGCTTTCTTTTTTGAAAGCAACCAATCAGAGTGTTATAAGTCAAATTATACCGCATGAAAAAACATCACGGACAGGTCACACCACACATCCAAATACTACAAGCCACCCACAAGCACATACTTTACATCACAGAAATCCTACATATGCACACAATGCCACAAATAGCTCACACACCACACCATTTATAGCCCCTATCACACACACAAATACTTGAAGCAACCCACATACAAACCATAAATAGCATCATAGACAGAACACATATAAAACCTCAGATAGCCTACACACTTACATACCACTGACATACCACTATAACACAACAGGAAGGCCAAATATACACACAATGCCACCAACATCCTGCACATAATCAAAAATATTATAAGCAACACACATATAAGCACTTAACAAAACAAACAGCATACACACATTAAACTCCAGACCATGATAATACATAGACATAATACACAGGCAACTCGCATACATACACAGTACCTTATAGAGTCTACAAACAATACCATAGACAGCCCACACTACACACAAATACTATGAGCAACACACACACAATACCACAGATAGTTTACACACATGCATACCACAAACAGCCCACACATACTTCACACATAAGGCAGCCCACATACATGCACACAGACACAATGCCACAAATAGTTAACATACATACACATAATAACACACACACACAATAATACCACACACACTTGTATCTAATACCATAAACAGCACACATGCATGCACAAAACCCTATAAGCAAAACACTCCACATACAATACAACAAACAATAATATATACGAAGCTCTACACACAGCACTCTACACTCTACACTCAGGTCGCTTTAAATATATTTTATTAAATACTGTTTTTCACACACACACACACACACACACATCTCCAGTGCTTCTGTATGCAATAACGATCATAGCTAATATTAATAAATGGCAACAGCCTCTTTAATGAAAATGCATAATCAGAATTTTAGTTCACAAACATTTGTTCTGCCAGGCCATTAGAAATAGTGAGCTCATGACATTTTGTTATTATATGACTTTTGTTTCTTGATATTGCTTGTACACTATATCATCTGTTCTTCTGTGTAGGTGTCACTTGACACATATGATAACTCCTTATTGTGCGTAAGAGTGTGAACACAATGTACTGAAGTGTGCCAAATGCTGTAAACATATTTAATTAATCTGCAGCTGTTGGCAAACATGCCTTTTGTCGTAACCTTTGTGACCTCCAATTGTGACATTTGAAAAGAATGATATATTCTGTATCATATCTCTACAAATGTTTATAGTATACAGTGGTGAAGAGATAAAATTGTGCCTAGTGTACCATTGAGAATGTTTCGCTTTGCTTCACTGCAATCAGTAAAATAGCATGGGAAGTGAGATATAGACGTTATATGTTTCATAGGAAAATGGAAAATTCCCATGAATAATAAAGGTCACAAATCAAATCATTATTGTCAGCAAGTTGCCAGTAAAACCGGTATGGTTTGGGGTAAATCAATGCTTAAAATAGATTTCCCATCTTTTTGTTGTGCTCCTACTAGTTTAGTTGTTGATGATGTTGATAAAATGATTAGTTGTTTGAGTATGTTACATTCTTTACACTAACAAACAGGCTAAATATTGTGTTTTAATGTACGTGTAACCCTGACGTTCCTCCATTTATACAGGGGAAATATGGATGGATGCTGAAAGAGTGATCAATACTGCGTTATATGTGGATGTAAGGGGAAAAAAACAGACTCTGCTTCTGCTGGACTTCCCTTGACTGACTACAATAACAATCCAATTACAGTGTTTAGTGAGCACAGAGGCCACAGGAGTAGGTTGGCTAGCCTTCACTGTTATCATGTGATGGATATGACCAATCAAGATGAAGCCAGAAGAAGAAGAGTCCTGAGGACATGAAATAAGAATGAGAAAGAAGACCCTACACTTTCTGCAAATCATATCACTGGATTGAATACTTATAGGTCCCAGAGCTGCTGAATTAAGTATCCTGAAACAAAAAACACTGATTGCAATATCAAATGATTTTTTTTTGCATACTGTTCTTCAAAAAAGCAATATCTTCCCAATAGTTGCTCTTACTGCACTGACAAGAAGCCACAACTAGAGTCCTATACAAATCTACTATGACACCTATATATATATATATATATATATATATACACAGTGGCGTACAGACCGGGCCCCTTCACTCCAGGGGGCCCATCCGCCCTGTGGACTCCTGCCACCGGGTGCCCACCTCCATGTGTTGCGGGGCTGCATGTTTAGGGGCCCATCAGGTGGCCCATGCTGTTAGGGCCACCCGATGGCTATGGATTTCAAGGGGGCCCGGTCAGCACTGCAGCGCTTTAACAGCGTGACCGGGCCCCCTGTGATGACATCACAGCTGGGAGGAAGTGACTGCCCCGTCACTCCTCCCAGCTTAAAATGGGAGCCGCACGGGAGGAAGGAGAGGAGGGAGTCAGAGTGGGAACTGTGACTCCCATCAGGCTGAGCCACCACTGGACCCAAGGGAAGTCACCCTTCTGCATCAAAAAGGTAGGAAACAGGATAGTGACTAAAATATTTTGTATATGTGTGTGTGTCTTTTTGAATGTTTCTCTGTATGTATGTGTGTGTGTCTGTGTGTGTGTGTGTGTATATGTCTGTCTGTGTATGTGTGTGTTTGTATGTATAGATGTCTGTGTGTGTGTGTGTGTGTGTGTTTGTTTGTTTGTTTGTATGTATGTTTGTATGTTTGTATGTTTGTATGTATGTATGTATGTGTGTATGTATGTATGTGTGTATGTATGTATGTGTGTATGTATGTGTGTATGTATGTGTGTATGTGTCCCAACGAAAGGCATGTATGAAACCAATCTCATTTTACAGGAATGTGAAAAAACAAACAAACCCAAAAACAAATCAAAAACAAATCATCGCTAGAAAAACAATATCCCAGTTTGGATTTTATAGGATGATAACATGACTACATTATTTGTCAGCTATATCTTGTTAATTGTATGTTGACAATAGGTGTATATGATGGACATAGTAAGCTGATGTATCACCATATTTTCCTGACTTTTACCTGTGAATATTAGAGTCAATCATAATATTTTCAATGTTTAATTAGTAGATACAGTTTGAAGCACAAATGAATAGGGGCTCCAAGCCTTAAGCCCATTTATCAGACAATGCATTAGAACTATGACTGCCAATCAAAATAATGACTTCACTAACTGGCACATATGGTGAAATACGGAGAGATTGTTATTGGTATTTAAAAAAACTGATTTTTATTTTAAGCCAAGGTTTTAAATACTCTGTGTTCACCTTTAGTATTCTGTCAATTATGTTTAAATTATATGTTAGCACATATAAAACTCTCTCAATGCTCAGCTAACAAAACAATGGGATAAAAAAGCCATAATATAATGCCATAAAACCATTTTACATTGAGGGAGGAAAGGAGGCAATTATTAGAATGAGATAACTATAAAACATTTGTGGCAAAGGAATGCTCATTTAAAGTCAGAATGCATTTAGAGACATGTGTAAGGATAACACATTTTAATTTGAGGTAATACTGTCCTTCTGTGAACCTAAGGGCCACATGTAACACTCAAACATTTTTACAAGACTCTAATCCTGTTGAAAACCCCACTGTTTCTCTTGTACTGCAGAGCACCATGAAAGCAATAGAATCTGAATGATATACTACTTTTAGGAGATTAAGGATGTGCGTTTCCATGGTGACATGGCGATAAGGCAAATCGAGATACTGATGCAGCGATAATTAAAACCATGCTTTGGTTTAATGAGTAAATTAATAATGTGGGGGGATTTAACTGTTGTGATAGCAGGCTGATATCAGAAGGCATTCATTCAGATACCTATAAATAAGGACGTTTTAAAGTGTGAAGAACATAGGTTACCAGTCATTAAAGTAATGGTGTACTTTTCATTACACCAATAATACACATAATGAGATTTTTTTTTTTTTAATTTGGTGAAACGTGTCTTTGAAGGTCTATGAACATAAAGACAAGATTTGTGCTCTTTGGTATATAGTGCTTTTATTGTTTGAATTTCAATTTGTGCTCTTTGAAAGAGCTTCCTTTTAAAAATGTTAAAGTGTTGCTAAACTTTGAGCACTCTATTGATAATATACATCTGTTTGGAGTCCTATGTGCTGTGGAGCCCTTATATGGAGGCTCTACTACAACTGAGTGTTTATGTTGCCATCTATATACATATGGTTTTATGTTTATAGGTAATTTGCACAGTATATGTTTTCTATGTTTCTTTGCAGTCACATTTAAAGAGCCATTACTTTGGACAGGAGAAAGATGTGGAGCTTCTATGAAGACACCGGAGGCCTATTAATCCAGAGCCAGGACTGTTTCGCAGAGTATTAGTAAGTCATTGCTGTTTGTATTGAAATTCAGTTATTGCCCATTAAGTGCATGCTGTGATAGGAGCTGGCCATCCAGAAACCGACGATAACCATCATTAGAAGCAATGAAATAATGGCAGTGGGTCTCTCCTAACAATCTTAGGCTAACCAGGACATGTCTGTCCTATACTTTAGGGAACTATAAACCCGGGACTAAACCTTGCCCTAGATCTAACCTTAAACATAAAAATCAGCAATGTAATAGATACGTAAAAATCTATATTAAGTGAAAAAAATGGTCGGTGTCTTGTGGTTCAATATGATGTCTCCCAAACCACACTATGCTATTACATAGTGCTGCAAGGAAGGATTTCACAAGTAAGTGGGTTAATCTCATAAGAGCAGGTATTAGGTTTGTAGAATAGGACTAGCCAAAAATGGAGTACATTGGAGTTATGTGATTTATGATCATATACTGTAACTAAATCCCCATCATTTCTGCCTAAGGGGTGTGTGTGTTTGTTAAGTTGCCCAAATGTCCATACTCTGCAGCAACGTCCAAGAAAAAAAGACCTCAATGTATTTTAGTGGTAAAAGTCTTTACAAATTGCTAAATAGAGTTAAACATGAATACACAG